AGGGGGTGCGCCCGCCTGAGTCTCGACTTGGGGAGCAGGGGGTGCGCCCGCCTGAGTCTCGACTTGGGGAGCAGGGGGTGCACCTGTGTGATGATGATGAGGTGAGGATGGAACTGGATGATGAGATTCTGGAGTTGGTAGCGGTGTACGAACCACCACCGGAGACCTTGTAGTAGGATCTTCACCACAATTTCTACACTCCACCGATTTCATCATAAAAGAGCTACAAGTCTCAGCATCTCTTTGCTCCGGGCGATTAAGTAAGCAATTATGGACATCATCAAAAACCTTTTTTGAATCTTTAGGTGCCACACACTCTGCATCTTGCTTATCAAAATAATTAAAGGAGAAATTAAAGTTTCCCAAATGGGGCAATTTGCATATCTCCCCAGAAACAGAGCCTCTAAATTCATTGTAACTAACGTCCAAATACTGCAAATTCTTGAGCCCCGATAACGCAGGCAACCAGCCAGGAAAGCTATTATTGCTGATATCAAGCACCGTTAGATTGACAAGCTTTCCGATCTCGACTGGAAGACAGCCATGGAGTTTGTTGCCGATAAAGAGAACCTGGTTGAGGCTGCTCATTTGGCCGACCGAACTAGGAATGCAGCCATGGAAGTAGTTGTACGCAAAGGACACAAGGGATACAGTGGAGTTTCCAATGGTATCCGGGATGAAGGAACTAAATCTATTGTTGTTTAAGAATATGGCGTCGAAGGTCATAGTGAAGAGTGCCGGTGGGACTTCTCCTTCAAAGTCGTTGAACCTAAGATCGAGGAACTTAGCGATACGCCAATGAAAGACAACCTCTGGAAAATGGCCAACGAACCGGTTGTTACTGACATCGAACTCAAACATGAGAGTGAGCTTAGAAAAGCTACGAGGAATTATCCCACAAAACCTATTAGAGTTGATATGGAATAATGCCAAATCTGTCAAGAGTCCAAGCTCGGGTGGCAAGTAGCCTGCAATGTCGGCATGGTTCAAATCAATGCCAGCCACAACCTCAACGGTGGAGTCATCAAGCGCCGTAGTACAAAAAACGCCCCTATAAAGACAGACATCATTGCCAACCCAATTTTCAGTGAAGTTATATGGGTCAGAATATATGGCGGATTTCCAAGCTTTGAGGGCAACAAAAGCCTTCTTCAACCTCTCATTTATGAAAGTTTCATGGGGATCAATTTCAGCATCATATTTATAGTTATCTGGGAGATCATCGTGTTCTCTTAGAGCCAAAAGTTGACGACCAATGAGATACGAAACTTCAGCTTTCGTGACGGCGAGGGAGGCCGATGGGAGAGTGAAGACCACAAGGAGGAGAAAGAGAAGAAGAGAAGCCATTGTGAGATGATTTGTTATTGGGGGAGATTGGGGCCTTTTAAAGAGTTTGGTAGGGAGTTTGAATTTGTTGTTTTGTGGGTTGGGATTAATTGTAGGGTTATTTGTGGTGTTAGACTTATTTATTTAAAAATAAGAGAGAGAAACAAGGGAGGTTATTTTCCCTATTTTCTTTTGTTCGGTAAATTTTTAGAATAGAAAACATAATTAATTTATTTTAATTTCATAACAAACCTAATAAAAGAAATATTATATTATAAAGAGAAACTCCCTTAAATAATTTAGATTTTATTATCATCCTCCTAATCCTTATTCATTTTATAAATCTTTAAAATTTTGAAAACAATAAAATAATAAAGCTTTTATTTTGGTTTTCGGTTTTATTTTAAAAAAAAAAAGAGAAAATGAGAGAGGAAAAAACATTACCATATTAATTTTAAAGTTTTAAAAATAAAACTATTATTAATATTTCAGAATAATTTGGATTGTTATTATGTTTTTTTTTTATTAACTTACCATTAAATTATTTTCATTTTTTTTTATCAAGCTTAAAAAAAATCTAAAATAGCAAAATGTAACATAAAATAAAAATCTAAAAAAACATTATTATATATATTAAAATAAAAATGAAACATAAAATTTAGTTTTAAAAAAAAATCCTCCAAAATTAATTTATTAATAGATAGTTTATTGGGGAAGGAAAAAAAATTAAAGAAAAAAAAAATAAATTTAATATTTTGAATTTTAATAATGTTATATTTTTTTTTGCATGATTTTTTCACATAATGATCAACATATTTTGACACATGAATTAAAAATGAGTTGTATTGATAAACAAATTATTCAAATGTAATTGTGTAAAATACATATTCAAATATTGTTTACAAGTTGTTATTTTCTAAAATAAAAAAAATGTTATAAAATAAATCGGAATAAAAGAAAGAAAATTGATAATTTATTATTATGAATGTTAATTAAAAATTATATTAGTATTTTGTTATTTTGTTATAAGTTTTAATCATTAGAAAAATTATCAGTACATTTGTCAAATTCATTTACTAGCTAACTCTTTATTTTCTTTTAATTTTAAGAATTTTAAGAATTAAATAAATTCGGTATAATTTATCCATTTATAAATTATAATAAATCTCTTTATAAATTATAATAACATCTCTATTTTTATTTAACTTATTAAGAATTCTGAATTTTTTCGGTCCTAACCTAAGATTAAGATAATATCTTACGTTGTATTCATCTAGACCTACGTCAAATCATTTTTAATTTATTTTTAAAAATATATCTATATATATATATAATTTATAATCTAATCTTATCACTTATTTATAATATTTAATTTTAAATATAATATTTATTTATATTAAATTTATAATAAAAACTTAAAATATTTATAAAAAAATGATCCCAAACAAAACAATAATAATTTGAATTTAACATACATAAAATTTATTATATGTTTGTCATTTTTAAATCTTTAAATTTTAAAAATGAATAAAAGCAGCATTTTTTTTTTGTTATTTTAATATTGGACTTAATCATAATTAAATTGAAATAAATAAAAGGATGAGAGAGTAAAAAAACTGTGAGAATGACAATTTTTTAAAAGAAATAAAAAGAAAATTCGATAGAGAAAACAAAAAAATTAAAAATAAATTTAATAGGGTGGAAAAAAATCGAGGAGAAATAGAGATTAAAAACCAATTTCAAATTTTAGGATCTAAATAAAAACTAGTTTCATTTCAAACTTTATATTCAAACTTTCTCTTAATTCAGAATTAGAGAAAAAGCTCATGATCAAAGAAAATTGGGAGAAATTGGGGACGTCTCTCACTTTTGAATTAGAGAAAAAGCTCAAAGATGATCAAAGAAAATTGGGAGAAATTGGGGACAGAGAATATTCCCGAAAATTAAACAAGATCTTTCAATTGGACAAGCTTTTAAAAGACCAGCAATTTGAGAATCTTCCATTAATCCAGTAAAAGAGATCATTTCCTCTCTTTTTCTTCTTTTAGGAAACGGAAGGGAGAAGAGAATCACAAAAACTGCAACCTTACTTTCTCTGTTCGATCACATCACAAATCGACTAGCAAATTTGCAACTAAAACAGATCAGATCAGTGAAGAATGAACGATTCTTTCGGAAGTAGACACAGTTCAAATCCCGCTCCATAAGTCCTCCAAGCAGAATCAAATTCGAAGAAGAACAATCGGTAAGTTCATCTCCCTCGGATCATCGACTACCATCGACTACCACAATCAATCAGCGGTAACATTATTAGATCGAATCAACTAAACTTCGGATCAACAAAAATGATGCGTTCCAGTAAATCACAGATCGTGAAATTCAAAATCAGGAAATACTCCGTAAACTCAATACCTAGAATCACAGTTCAAATCCCGCTCCATAATTCCTCCAAGCAGAAACAAATTCGAAGAAGAACAATCAGTAAGTTCATCTCCCTCGGATCATCGACTACCATCGACTACCACAATCAATCGGCCGTAACATTATTAGATCAAATCAACTAAACTTCGGAACAACAAAAATAATGCGTTCCGGTAAAATCACATATCGCGAAATTCAAAATCAGGAAATACTCAGTAAGTGCAATACCTAGAATCACAAATCGACGGTGAGAGCAGCGGCTCCGACGGAGAACAAAGGCAACCGGCATCGATTTCGGTAGAAGAGGAAAGTGATTGTTCGATTGGCGATATCGAATTATTTATAACGGCAGCAACTGAAAACGAGAAAGGAAAAAAGGCGATAGGTTTGGTAAGAACCTTTTGGAATTTGCGCCATGACTTACGTGTCCAATCTGCAGGCGTTGCCTCGCTTTTGATCCAACGAATCTGTGTCTTCGGGGCCTTTTACAAAAAGAGACATTATTTTTTTAAAATTTCATAAAATAAATTAGATTAATTATTTTTAAGTTAAAAATATAGATAACAATTTGTGGAAAAAATTAGATTAATTAAAGGGATTAAGAATTAAAAATTGTATTTAATATTATTAAAGTAGGAAAAAAAAATTTAAAAAAATTAAAATGGAATCTTAAAAAGTGTTTATATGGATAACGTGTCTATAATAGGGAGCCCCTATAAATAAAACCTACCACCTATTAGCTTCCTTCTCAGCTTTAAATTCCATAGACGGCAACCAACAAATCGGAATAATAATAAATATTAATTTTATTTATAAAAAATATATATAATTTCTATAAAATATAATTTAAATTATTTTTTTAATTTTTCGAGTGATGCTAAATTCCGAAATCAACCTTGAACCGCTTGCCACGTCACTCCCACCCAACCTCTTCCGAAACACGATGAAATGAATGAATCTGACCCCTTCATATTAATCCGACCCTGTGTCCTCCACCTCATGATTAGATCCCACCCAAACCGTCCATTTTTGTTTCTACCTCGTGGGACCCACTCATCCATGTTATTCTGCGTAACAGATGTAATTACCAATTCTATTCTATAGACGCGAGAATTTTACCACCTCCAAATTGGAGAGACGTTTTTATACTTTTATAAAAATGTTTTGTTTCCCGTTGTAGTGGATATGAGATCTCACGATCTACCTTTTTGAGACTTAGCGTCTATGTTAATACTCGCTCCTTTGTGCGAAATCTCACAATCCACTTTCTTTGGAGTCTAACGCCATCGCTAGCACTCGTTCCTCTGTGTGGAATCTCATGATCCATCTCCTTTGGGGTACAGCGTCCTCATTAACGCTCTTTCCTCTCTCCGATAGATGTGGATATCACATTTATGATCCAAAAACTCGATCAATTTAGACTATTAATTCAAGCTCAAAAAGTTGGGTTGGGTTGGGTTTAATTTTTTTTTTAAAGTTTGTTCGCACGAATTTTTTTTCAGGACAATCCTACTGACTCGAAAATAAAATTACAATTCAACCCATCTTTATCTCACCATACTTTTTAAAGATTATTATGAATGTCAACCATGGTATAGTAAATAAATAAGATTTTTTTTTAACTAATTAAAAAAATAATTGGACAACTCGAAAATAGAGAATTTGTGTTGGGTTAAGAACTATATTCCATTGGTTCGGATCACTAACCTAACTAATCAAAAACTTTGGGCGGGTCAAAAAAAAAATTTCTACCCATACAAAACAAAATTTAAAAAAATTATTATGCAATTTTTAAAAGTTTTTTTAAGTATGGTTTAGATACAAATTAACATAATGGGTGACCTAGTTTTTACTTGCTTCGAACCTTTTCGAATGTGGACCAAATTGTGTCCGGCATTCCTCATACCACGCGCGTTTCAAAGCAGTGTATTGCACGCTCCCCCACTTTCTCATGGTTAGGTTTCGCGAATTCAATCGTTCAAAAAATACACACACACATATTTTGTAAACCAATCCGCTCCCACAATTTATCACCGAGCAATTATCCAGTGCGAACCGTTCGTATCGTATTCCCGATAAGGATGAAGACAATACGTGCTTTTCATTGAATAACGGCAGTTTCCAGTGGAAGCGGACGCAGAGGATTATGGTCTCTTATAGTTGAGAAAAATTATAAATTATATAAATAATGTTTGAATAATCAGTTTTGTTTGGACAAGTTTGGTGACGTGTAATAGCGGCAGCTTTCTTCTTTTCTCCTCCAAAAAGAAGGAGAAAAACGGATTTACCCCTGTAATTAAAGGGGACACGGAGGGGTATAATTGTCCAAAGGAAATTAACAGATCAATACATATGAAGGGCAGAGAAAGCAACAGAAAGTTTAACCCTGACTATCGAGTTCTGCGTGAGATCTGCGAGAGAGAAAAAAAAAAACAAGCGCGATAGAGAGAGAGAGAGAGAGGAGATTTTCTCTCCCGAGAAAATGAGAGAAAATCACTGAGAAAATTGCAGACGGAAGAGGCGAAAAGCTGCGCGGAAGACGAAGCCGCGTTCCTCTCTGGATTGTGTATTTGTATAATCTGTTGTGGCGGTTTTGGTTTTGGTTTTGGGTATTTTGGAAGGAATCTGCGTTTCTTTCGGTTTTCTTCCGCCATGAGGATCCGGAAGAACGCGAAGTTATCGCCACTGTTGTTTTTGGCTGTGGAGTCGGTTCCTGAGTTTCATCTTCAGACGCACGTTTGTCAGTTGAACCAGTCGCCATGGGATGTGATTCCTCTCCACCAACACGCCACGAACCAGGTTTGTTTTAATTAATACAGAGATGGAGAGATTTCTATTCTCTATTCTCTAATCTTCTAAATCTTCAATCTCCTTCTCTTCTTCTTTTTTTCACTCTCTTCTTTATAGATCTGCTATTAATTTCCTTTTCTCTTTTCTTCTCCCTCCTCCTTCCGTTTCCCTCTTTCTTTAGGGTTATTCGTTTTCCCCTTCCACTTTAGGGTTCATCCTAAAACCCTAATAATTTTCCTCATTCTTCTCTATTTCTCCATGTTTCGTTCTTACAGCTCGAGGAGGCTGAAGATAGCTTCGTCGAAAATGCTAGCTTAGGCGATTCCATCGGAGCCGTCGATAGGTGAGTTTTTCTGTGATTTCTTCTGTTTGTTTTTATTATTGTGCATTCTTTGTGCCTTTTCTGTGATTCGTAAATAGTTGCTGTTGAGTGAATGAGTAAATGCTCATACGATAATCTGAAAATTTTTCTTCCAAGAGAAATGGTCTGGTAGTCTGTGTTGTTATTATCTGTCCGTCGCTGTTTGCGTGTTTGAGATTTATTTATATATACGAATACAGCGTCGCGTCGATGGAGGGGTCAGCGAAATTTTCGAACAATAATATAATTATTACGGACGAGAGTGAAGTAATGGCAGACAAGGATGGGGATAATCGTGAAGATTTGGATGAAAATGGAGACGGATTCGAGAAATTAGTCGATAGCAGTTGGAAATGTAAGAAACAAATTAGAGAGGAAGATTATTCTTCGTTTAGTCCCGACCACCACCGCCACCGTACACTTCCTAGGTCTAGTGAGAATAATTATTATCCTACTCCCAATAATTGCTCGCGTACGAAGAAATCCGCCACCGGAGATACGGCCTGGCGGCTAACGCGGCCGACGAGGGTTTCGAAGAAGGCGGTTAGTGCGGCGGCGGTCGGTGGATCGAATCCGTACGAGTTTTATTATTATTCTGGATTCGGGCCACAATGGGGGAAGAAGAGACGGGAGAGAGGGGGAGGGTCGAGCGAAAATACGATGGGAATTCGGAGCAATGCAACGACGCCGTCGGAAATTAACAGCGCGGATTTAGATTATGTGGAAGAGGAGGACGATGACGACGATGAGGAGGAGGAGGACGGAGAAGGCGACGGCGGGAAGAAGCGAATGAGGAAGCCGGTGAAAGCGCGGTCGTTGAAGTCGCTGATGTGAAGGAAGAATGAAATGGAAATGGAATTGGAATTTGAATTTGGAATTTGGTTTTGGTGGTGGGAAATTTTTATCGAGGGCTTCTCAATTGTTTGTTAGGGTTGAAGGATTTTTTTTTTCTTTTTTATTTTTATTTTTATTGTGTAACATATTATTAGTATTATTATTATTTTATAATTACTTTTAAATTTTGATATTGTTATTCTCTGCGTAATCCACGATGATGCTGTCTGTTTTGTGGCATTGCGTGGCGGGGTGGGTGAGTTTAGCGTAGCTCATGAACGTGGACAGCAGGAGATTTCATAGGGTGGGTTTTAGGGAGACCGAGACATTGTGTTTAGTCAAATAAATGGGTAGTTTGGTAATTTTAGACTTCTTTTTTTTTTTTTTTTCTGTTGATAATAATAATATATTATATATATACATGTTGTATTTATGGAGTTTGGGTTGCTTTTTCTTTTAATTTTATTTTAATTTTTGGGGCTTATGGTAATAGATGACGTGGCAAGTGATAAATTTTCCATATATGAATATTAATAAAAGAATGGGCCTACATTACCTTATTGGGTCCACATAGACAGCAAATTCCACGTTGATGATGTAAATGTGTAGTGAATCGTGGAGATCTAGTTTTTCTTTTCATGAATATTAGTTAACTTACAAGTTTCATATCTCAATTTCTATACTGGTGCCTACTTAAGTTCTTAATTTCTGGAATTTTAAATTTAGTTGGTACGCTTCTAAAATTTTAAATCGTGGTTAATATGTTATTGAATTTTAAAGAGTTTTAGGTCTTGTTTCATAGTCATTTTAATTTTATATATATATTCTTTTTTTTTTTTGTTTTTGAAAATTAAGGTTATTGAATTTCTTTTATATTTTAATTATTGATGTATGCTTATTTGTTTTTAAAAGACATATTTTCATGAAAGGCGTCTCGAGAAAAAAAGAAAAAAAAAATAGTTGGCAGCTCAACCATTTGAGATTTGAGAAGGGATTCACTATTTTTGTTTTTGTTATTTCTAACTACTTTTGTAAATGAAACTGCTTTTTCTCATCCTTTCTCTGTCTCACCATCATAATCACCTTTTCTTTTTTCTTTTTCCTTTTTATTTTTCATAATAATAGTAAATATGATTTGTCAAGTTTTATTCAACCGATTAAATTGATTTTTTTTTTCTTATCCATTCTCCTTAAAAAAAATTATCAGTAAAATTATTTGGTAAATTTGAGAGCAGCTATTGAATGTGAACAACAAACTTTCAATGGCTGAACTAGGGGAATTGAAATTGTTTTGGAAATTGTTCCTATTTCCTTATACACACATAATAAGTATTATATATATATTATATAAAAAATGAATGTATAAATATTAAATTCATTTTTTCATCCGGCTTCCGCCCATAGGGACCCACCCTGTATAGAGCGAGAGAATTTAAACGGAGAATGAAA